AAAAGCAAAGAGTGCTGATTTTGTCAATCGGTTCATAATCACTCATATTGCATCATTCTTTCTCAAAGATTTCGGAAGGCCAGTGACAATCCATGATGATCTTTTCCCATTTTCACATTGGTATGTCCAAGTTATGGACTAAACCAGCTGGTCTTTGGTGTTCAGGCTTTACTTGTTGGCAAGTAAAACATTCATCCAATTACGATCGATTTGATCTTATTGCCTAGTGACTACAAATGTCACTGCTTGTAGTAGTTCCTCAGTGCATTGTTGTCTATTGAGTTTCCTGAGGTGGATGCACGAGTAATTCTAGATCTCATCATTTCACTTATCGTTTGATTAAGATCCTTATCTTCGTTAGGAGGGGTTTGTTCATTACCTGTAGCCATATCTCCCTATAAATAATAAAATGTTTAGGTCAACTGTTATACAAGAAATAATTTCTGAGTCAGCCACATATACGCAATTCAAGTAATTATGAACTCGATTATTACTCAACATAATAACACAAATCTGTATTTACAAGCCAAAAGTATATTATTAATAGTTAACTTTTTAGTCCATACATATATCTTGAGTATATGGGTTTACATATATACATATTTTCTTCCAAAATGTCCTATATATACCAAAAGAGTAACTACGAAAACCCATATACTAATATTACAAAATTGTCCTAACAGTTACACTCTATTTCATCGAGGAGAGGAGCTGCTAGAGCTAGACTTATCCTCGGTTGGCTCGGTCTCCTCCGAGTTTTAGTTATTATCAGAGTCGGACATTGGATCTGGATCGATACTACTAGTCTCTCATCCTTCAAGATCGAGGTCTGGACCAATACGTAGGGTATTCGACTCATTCTCAGAAAAAGGGAGTCCATCATTATCACTAAAAATCTGGACCACCTGGGACTCGGTGCTAGAGGGATCGGACGAACCCACGGTAACTTCTGAAGGTGATGACTCAACTGGAATAACCTCTACTGCTAGATCCTCATCCTCAGAATGATCAACCTTAGACTCCGATGGATCTATTATAATAACTTCTACTGACTCGACCTCTGATAAGTCTGGGGTCACATGGTTAACCACTATCAAGTCTGGGTCAGTCTCATCAGAAGTGTACTCCCTGTCTCTTAAGCTAGGTTCCCAGGAGTTGTCTACAGAAATTGTATAGCTAAAATGGGTGTCTGAGAAACTGGTTAAGGAATGTGTCACCGCCATCCTACAAAAAGGGGACCATCTATCAGCATACTAAAATAAAGGGACAAAAATAAAATAAAATAAACATGTATTAAGAAATACTAGAAAGTTCTAAAATGAAATAAGGTCAACTAAATCCCGTATGTACCCTCCTTAAATATGTAAAAGGCCTAACTATAAAGCATTAAGATGCATACACATATATACATATGTATACAGAAATATATATCACATAGCTGACCCATACGATAACACTCATCCAGCGCATATATACTATGCTAACGTGCCCTACAAGGCTTCTAACGTCAAAACCTAGGCTCTGATATCATCTTAAACACATAAAATTTTTGTTTCTTTTTGCAAATCCTTGTTTTTAACTTCATAATCATAACAATTTATCATCCTCACTCAATTCTATTTTGATTCAAATTACAAAAACTTACTATGAAATTTAAAAGTGGGTTATACCTCAATTGATTGGGATATTGATTTGTTGCCTTGGTCTTCTTTTCTCGCTTCACAAGCTTTCTATTGATCCCAGAGAGTTTTGTTGAGGGTATTCTCCGTTTTTTCTATTTTTTTGGGGTTTTCTTTGATTTTTTTCTCTGTTGTATCCTTCTGTTGAGGAGGCTATATTTTCTTTCTTATGTGTGCAACTGAATATACTATGATATTTTCTAGAATAAACCCTTTTTAAATCAGGGTCAACATTAAGAAAGAAAAAAAACTACTAATTTGTACAAAATCCGAGGATTATTATTTTCTCAATTTCACAGTTAATTGTCAGAATCTTAATTCTCGATGAGTTATTCGTGAATATGAAAGTCACCTCATTGGTCACACTAAGGCTACGAATTATAGCTCAGTAGTATGGGAATGCGTAAAACGCATCACATAACAGATAATTCTCGAAAATCGAATGCACCTAACACTATCATACGTTACTGGCCAAATATAGAGGAGCCAGAACAAGTTTCAGAGGGGCCAATACAGAGGGGTCAATATAGAGTGGCCAAATAAATGTGCATTCACCATATGAAGCAGAATCACTTCATAGTGGACTTTTTGAGGGTTTAAAAATATCAAGAATCGCTTGTCAAATGAGTAACACCTTGCGTATCAGAATTTATAGATACTTTCAAATGACGTGGACAAGGGTAAAACTCGTTATCCCAGTTAAAACAGTTTACGGATTTCACTTTTCTTTATTTTTTATCAAATACTAAGTCACAGAAAATCTTTGAATCCATTAAACTGTTGAAATGCGTTCTAAATATTTATTTTCTTCAAAAGCTTTCAAATAAAGCAATTCCCACAATTATTTGAAATCGAATAAGAACCAAATTCACTTTTCATAGTTCATATAAAATCAAATTGATTTTTCATATCTTGTATGAAATCAACATCGTATTTATGGTTTAGGCCACAACAAAAGTAGATCAAATCACCTTTTATTTATATATATGAAAATGATATATTATTTATTTTTCGATTACAAGATAAATCAAATATAATACTCGTGCAATTTCATATTATAAAATATTAATGAGAAATGAACTCACCTCTAGTGGACACGATTTTTCCTCTCTTTTTTTTCCTAATGGACCGTCTGAGGCCTCTCTCTTTCTCTCTCTCTCCATGGCGACAGGAATCGCCGACGTCCAGGAGCGGCCAATGGTAAGACCCCCGCCGGATCTAGGGTTAGTAATTTTTTTCCAGTCCGTCATATACATCTTAAACACATAAAAATTTTGTTTTTTTTTGCAAATCCTAGTTTTTAACTTCATAATCATAACAAGTTATCATCCTCATTCATTTTATTTTGATTCAAATTACTAAAACTTACTATGAATTTTGAAAGTGGGTTATACCTCAATTGATTGAGATATTAATTTGTTGCCTTTGTCTTCTTTTCTCCCTTCACAAGCTTTCTATTGATCCTAAAGAGTAGAGGATGAGAGGGTATTCTCCGTTTTTTTTTTTTCTTTTTTTGTGGGTTTTCTTTGATTTTTTTCTCTGTTTTATCCCTTTGTTGAGGAGGTGCCGCCCCAAACATCAAATGACTTTTAGCCATTAAAACACTAACGTGACAATTAAACAAGAGTTGGACAGGGTGAAATTCAAAGAAATCCCTAATTAGTTTTTTCCTAATCTGTATTTTAAAATTTTTTCTCCATTAATCCAATTTTAAGACACTAATTACTTAGGCTACTATGCTCTCCCCTCCTAATAAAATGTTTCGCCCTCGAAACTTGACATACCTATATCTCAAAAGAGCTCTGAATATCTCTCTCGCATAGAATCTTTCGTCTCCCAAGTAGCTTCTCTTTCAGAGTGATTCTTCCACTAAACTTTCACATATTTGATTATTCTCATATGTACCCTCCTTAAATATGTAAAAGGCCTTACTATAAAGCATTCATATGCATACACGTATATACATATGTATACAAACATATATATCACATAGCTGACCTATACGATAACACTCATCTAACGTATATACACTATGCTAACGTGCCCTACAAGGCTTCTAATGTTGAAACCTAGGCTTTGATACCATCTTAAACACATAAAAATTGTGTTTCTTTTTGCAAATCCTAGTTTTTAACTTCATAAGCGTAACAAGTTATCATCCTCACTCATTCTATTTTGATTCAAATTACTAAAACTTACTATGAAATTTAAAAGTGAGTTATACCTCAATTGATTGTGATATTGATTTGTTGCCTTGGTCTTCTTTTCTCCCTTCAGAAGCTTTCTATTGATCCCAGGGAGTTTTGTTGAGGATGAGAGAGAATTCTCCGCTTTTTTTCTTTTTCTTTTTTTGTGGGCTTTCTTTGATATTTTCTGTGTTTTATCCCTCTGTTGAGGAGGTGTCGCCCCAAGCATCAAATGACTTTTAGCCATTAAAACACTAACGTGACAGTTAAATAAGAGTTGTGGGGTGAAATTCCAAAGAAATCCCTAATCTGTTTTTTTTTTAAAAAAAATCCATTAATCCAATTTTAAGGCACTAATTACTTAGGCTACTACATACTACCTACATAATTACCATTGGGTCGAAATAAACAAAACTGAAAAAATCATGGGTGGCCCCTGAAAATCGCAAAATTTGAAATATGGTTAATCAATTGACATTGGGTCAAAGCACATGCACACACACAACAAGAGTATCTGATAATTTTTTTAATTTGTAGACGTTAGCGGACCACATTCTGTTTTCTTGCTTCACTTAACAAGCTACATTACTACAAATTATGCTAGTTTGTTCGTTTGTAATTTATTAGTCTGTATAAGCACTTGCTATAGGGATTACGGGTTTTGGGTCTTTTGTTCCTTCTAGTTGTCCGCGATCTCCCTGAGTTTCTCTTTCACTCCATCTCTTAGCACGTGTCTCATTTCTATACTTCCATTAGCTTCACCCTGGAGCTTCCTAATGCAAAATTGCCTCGGTTATCTCCTGCAATTTTAGCGCAGTTTCCCATTTAAGAGTGAATTTTCTTACTTTATTTCTGAATCGTCAAACTATAGTGACATAATTTGAACAATCTAAGTATTGCCATGTAGTTTTTATTTTTGCTAGGAACCACATTCAAATTCTTATCATGGTTGGTCTATGGTGATACCACATTCAAATTCTTATCATGGTTGGTCTATGGTGATAGCATTGAGTAGAAACAATTTAACTTGGCTAATGTTTTAAACCTTCAATCAAATTTTTGTCTATGGTGATAGCATTGAGTAGAAACAATTTAACTTGGCTAATGTTTTAAACCTTCAATCAAATTTTTAGACTTTCTTTTTGGATTACAGGTATTTTGTTTCTCTGTCAGCTTCTTGTCCCCAAAGTCCATGGATCCTGTCGTGATGTGACAACAACACCCGTATTTGGCCAATGAAGGAATTTGATATCCGCTTTGGAACTAACTATCAGAAAGTAAGCAGATAAAACATACAACAAAATCAAATACAAAACAACAAAATCCCTCTTAACACTAACTCTGTAAAATCACCCAAAATCTCAGACAGACACACTATTAGGAACCCCTCTTCCGCTAATCCCCGCAACCCTCCAACCCTCCTAAAATCTGAAGTATTCGGATAGAGCAAAGTATAAGCAACACCAACCTCCCCTGTCCTATTCTTCAACCTCTCATCCTTATTCCTCTCCTCGATCCTCTTCTCAATCCTCACCAGCTCCTCTCTAAACCTCTCAAAAACCTCCACTGCCCTTCGATCCGACGTCCACTCCCTATCCTCCCTCTGCCCAATATAAACCTCATCGCTCGAGTGCATCGACAAAATCTCTAACACTGACATAACCGTAAATGCCGGTGCCTTTCTCGTTATACTCTTAAGTAACAACCCCTCAGGGTCATTTTCAATCTCATCATACTCTTTAGGATCTGGCATTGGATGTCGAATGAATGTGGGTCGGTTTGGGACAAAGCCAGCATATGCGTACTGGCCGAAGTTGAGGGAGGCATGGTAGGCAGAGGCAAGCCAGATGAGGATTGTACAAACTTCGGTTAGGGATGATAGCGTTTGCATGTTGGGCCACCAGGGTAAAACACTTGTGTAATTTTCACTCAGGGGTTCTATGTACCAAAATGAAGCTACAAATGTAATAACTTCCAAAGGGTGATACTACAGGGAATCTGTGCAAGTAAACGTTTGCTTTATTCAAATTATAGGATATTCCTCTGTAACTAACTATAATCTTGGGACACATTTTTTCTTTTTACCTTGAAATATACGTGTAAGAGAAGATATTTTGGAATACCTTTTGCAGAGATCAGTTGGGAGTGCATGATCCATGAGGTTCCAGCTTTTATAAATCTCTGATGTCAAACTCATTGCGAATTTTCCAGGAAAGAAGCTTCTCTCTACGGGTCCATTTGCGTGTACGAGGAGCTGGCGAGCCAAGGAGTTCATGTTCATGTTGTCTCTATAGTGAGGGCTCAGCAATTTGTAGATCGGGTGCGTAACACTGAGCTGTCTGTTTTGTCGCTATAACAAAGGGTTCAATTGCTGCATGTGTGTAAAATTAAATTAGATGTGCATATGTGTTGGGACAAACCCGGGGCCCAATAGAGCAGGGTCGCAGCAATAGTAGAACAAAAGTAGAGATAAAATGTTGGACACACAGATTTACGTGGTTCGGCACTTGATTGCCTACGTCCACGGGCAAGGATAGAAGAATCTACTATGAAGAGAAAACTCTGGAGTTACAAACTCTCTCTCTTTACAAGGAGAAACTCTCTCTAATTTCTCTCTCTCACTCTTCTATATAAGAAGTTGTTTCTGGGATGAGATTTCCTTAACCTATTTATAGTTTTTAGAAAAATACTATGCACAATAAAATATTAATATTTTACTGTAGCTGTGGGGTCCGCTCTTTTGTTTTCTTCTCAAATTTTCAACATATGTGGCTGTGCACTTTCGGTGGGTTTGGAATATTAGGCACCTGACAATCTCCCACTTGAAGATTTGATTGAGCATCAATCATATCTTCACACCATTCTTTCTATCTTGCCATCTTCATGTTGCTTACGTCTCCATCAGACCACAAGAGGATCGACACCAAATAAATTTGTCAGTACTGACTGCTTTGGTCAAAAAATCTGCTAGGTTGTCTTTGGTGTGAATTTTCTGCATATCCACTGTTCCTTCTTCCACTTTCTCACGAACGAAGTGATACTGAACTCGAATGTGCTTGGTCTTTGAATGAAAGGCTGGATTTCTTGCCAAATGCAAAGCACTCTGACTGTCACAAAATAGAGAAATCTTCTTTTGTTCATAGCCGAGTTCCTCCAGCACCATCTTCAACCACATCGCTTCTTTACTAGCTTGTGTAGCTGCTACATACTCTGCTTCTGTTGTTGAAGTAGCCACAACTGACTGCAGTTTTGAAACCCAGCTTACAGCTCCGCCAGCAAGTGCAAACACATAACCTGTGGTGGATTTGCTATTATCACGATCACCTGCATAATCAGAATCAACATATCCACTGACAATAAAATCAGATCCCCCATAACATAATGCAACATTTGAGGTTCCTTGAATGTATCTTAGAACCCTCTTTACAGCATTCCAATGCTCTTTACCAGGATTCGCCATGTATCGACTAACCACTCCCACTGCTTGTGCAATGTCTGGTCTTGTACAAATCATCGCGAACATTAAGCTTCCCACTGCTGATGCATACGGTACTCGAGACATCTCCATCCTCTCTTCTTCACTGCTAGGACTCATACTGGAGGATAACTTGAAATTAACAGGAAGTGGGGTAGAAATTGACTTACAATCTTGCATGTTAAAGCGTCGCAAGATTTTCTTCAAATAGTTCTTCTGAGAAAGCTAAATCTTCCTATTAATTCTGTCTCGGTAAATTTGCATCCCTAGAATCTTGTTTGCAGATCCTAAATCCTTCATTTCAAATTCCCTAGCCAACTGAGCCTTTAATTCTTGGATACGATCTTTGTTGGGGCCTGCAACCAACATGTCGTCAACATACAACAATAAGATAACAAAGTTATTTTCACCAAACCTCTTGAAATATGCACAAGGGTCTGAATTAAGTCTGTTGTATCCAAGGCTCATGATGAATGAATCAAATCTCTTGTACCAACACCTCGGCGCCTGCTTTAGACCGTACAGAGATTTGTTCAATCTGCAAACCAAGTTCTCTTTTCCTTTTTCTTCAAAACCTTCTGGTTGGAGCATGTAAATTTCTTCTTCAAGATCTCCATGAAGAAATGCTGTTTTCACATCTAGCTGCTCTATATGTAAGTCAAATATAGCGCTCATAGCCAGGACAATTCGGACTGTTGTTAGTCGAACTACAGGAGAAAATATTTTATTAAAATCAATACCTTCTTTCTGAGCATATCCTTTTACCACCAATCTAGCACGATACCGCTCCACTTGATCATCGCCATTTCGCTTGATCTTGTAGACCCATTTGTTTCCAATGGTCTTTCTTCCTTGTGGCAGTGACACAAGTTCCCAAGTCTTGTTCTTATGGAGAGCTTCAATTTCTTCCTGCATTGCTGCCATCCACAAAGATGCATCTGTGCCATTTATAGCTTCATGAAAAGTTGATGGCTCTCCATCTTCTGTTAGAAGACAGTATGCAACATTACTCTCCGTAATATACTCCGAGTGCCAAGTCGGTGGTCTTCTCTCACGAGTTGACCTTCGAACTTCTGGAGCCTCGGCCTCGACTGGTTCTTGTACATCATGCTCCGGTGTCGCTTCAGAAGAATTCGGATTATCTTCTACCTGAACAGCTACAGTCTCTGAGTCCTTCCTCGAACTGCTTTCTTTTTCACCACTTTGTAGTTGATTTTCTACAAAGATAACATCTATGCTGATGATAACCTTATAGGTAGTGGGATCCCACAAGTGATACCCCTTTACTCCATCAGCATACCCCAAGAATATGCATTTTCTGGATTTTGAATCCAGCTTTGTAATTTCTTGGGCATTGTACATTACGTACACTGGACATCCAAATATATGGAGGTTAGAATAATCAGCTGGCTTGCCAGTCCACATCTCCATCGGCGTCTTTAATTGTATTGCAGTTGATGGAGATCGATTCACCACATAACAGGCGGTTTTTACTGCTTCCGCCCAAAAGACTTTTTCCAGATTTGCAGTAGCCAACATAGCTCTTGTTCTTTCCAACAGAGTTCTGTTCATCCGCTCCGCCACTCCATTTTGTTGAGGAGTATAAGCCGTACTGAATTGTCTTTTGATGCCTTCATGCTTGCAGAATGCTAGGAATTCACCGTCTGTGTATTCTCCTCCATTATCTGTTCTCAAGCACTTGATCTTCTTCTCAGATTCAAGCTCGACCCGCGCTTTGTAGGCTTTAAAGACTGAGAACACATCCGCCTTCTTCTTGATAGGATACACCCAACATCTCCTGGAGTAATCATCAATAAAGGACACAAAGTACTTTGCTCCTCCTAAGGATGTAACTGGTGCTTGCCATACATCAGAATGAACCAGTTCCAGAATAGCCTTGCTTCTAGAACTCGATGTGTTGAACTTCAGTCGATGTTGCTTGCTTGTAACACAATGCTCGCAGAATGGAAGAGCTACCGAATTAAGTCCAGGAAGCAGTTTCTGATCGGAGAGAACCTTCAAGCCTCGTTCTGACATGTGGCCTAGCTTGCGATGCCACATCATGGTTTGTTCTTCTCCACGGCTGGTTGATGCCACACATGAATCAGCTTCCTGCAGAGTCTCTCCCTTGAGCATGTACAGATTTGCAGCTATCTTTTCTCCTTTTATCACCACAAGCGCCCCTCTAACAATCTTCATGACTCCATTTTCTATATGAGTCTTGCACCCGAGCTCATCTAATTGTCCCAAAGACAATAGATTCTTCTTCAAGCCCTTCACATGTCGCACATCTTGAATGGTGCGTATTATACCATCAAACATTTTGATTTTGATAGTACCAATACCACAAATCTCTAAGGCATGATCATTCCCCATGAATACAGATCCTCCTGAGATAGGTTCATATTTGTGAAACCAATCTCTCCGAGAGGTCATGTGCCAAGAGGCTGCTGAATCTAGAAGCCAGACATCAGCAAACTTCTTTCTGCCTTCATCAACAGTGGTTGCTCCACTGAATAGAATTTCACCATCCTCTGACGTGCTGACAACGCATCCTTGAGATGTTGATGGCTCTGAATACTTTTTATCTCCACTCTTCTTGTTGTGCCAACACTCCGATTTGACGTGCCCTCTTTTGCCACAGTTGTAGCATTTGATATTCTTCTTACTTCGTGATTTCGATCTACCATGGGCATGACTCCCACTGGAGCCACGTTCTGTTGATCTTCCTCTCGTCACCGATAAGGCCTCCGCTTGCTGCGAACTTGTCTGCCTGTCTTCCTTGTTCTTGCGCCGATTTTCTTCCTCCAGAACAGCGGCTGCAACATCGTCGAAGACTAGATTGTCCGTGAGGACGTTGTTCGTCAGGTTGATGATGAGTTGATCATACGAGTCAGGTAGACTCTGAAGTAGAAGTTCTGCACGTTCATTCGCACCAACTGTATATCCCAACGTTGTGAGTTGGGAGAACAGTGTGTTTAGGGTGTTGATGTGGTTGGTCATCGATGTAGATTCTGCCATCCTCAGAGTGTAAAGTCTCCTTTTTAAGAAGATTTTATTGTGCATGGATTTCGCCTCATATAGCTTTGTTAGAGTATCCCAGATCTCCTTTGCTGTCTTCTTCTCCTCTATGCTTGACAGCACCCCGTCTGCTAATGCCAGATGGAGATTTGCAATAGCATTTTCGTCCATCTCGTTCCACTTCTTATCATCTGTGATGTCGTCCGGCCTTGCACCGATGGCCGCCAGACAATTATCTTTTCTCAAGATAGCCTTTATCTTCAACTTCCACAATGAGAAATTATTCCCGTCGAATTTCTCGATCTTGAACTTCGCCGCCATTGCTTCTACCATGAACAGTAACTTCTTACTATTTCACGTAAATAGTACTGTATTTATGGACAGTAACCGTATCTGTGAATAATGTCGTACTTGTGAATAGTGCTGTATTTGTGAACAGTACCGTACTCGTGAATAGTACCCGTCACCTCCAAAGGGTAAATAATAACCTAACTTATTTTCTGATGTGGAGGATCCACCTTTGGTGGCAGCCACAGAGCATACGATAAGTAGATATATACAAGTACCCTAAGTTGGCTCTGATTTGTTGGGACAAACCCGGGGCCTAATAGAGCAGGGTCGCAGCAATAGTAGAGCAAAAGTAGAGATAAAATGTTGGACACACAGATTTACGTGGTTCGGCACTTGATTGCCTACGTCCACGGGCAAGGATAGAAGAATTCACTATGAGGAAAAAACTCTGGAGTTACAAACTCTCTCTTTACAAGGAGAAACTCTCTCTATTTTTTTCTCTCTCACTCTTCTTATATAAGAAGTTGTTTCTGGGATGAAATTTCCTTAAGGATTTGGAGCCCTATTTATAGTTTTTAGAAAAATACTATGCACATTAAAATATTAATATTTTACTGTAGCTGTGGGGTCCGCTCTTTTGTTTTCTTCTCAAATTTTCAACATATGTGGCTGTGCACTTTCGGTGGGTTTGGAATATTAGGCACCTGACAATATGTACGTGCTTAAGGTTTTATGGGAAGATAAGGAAATATTTGGTGAAGTATGTCCATAAACGATCCCCATTGCTCATCATGGTATAAATGCATTGGAACGTGTATTCGTGTTAAACCTTGGTATTTGAAGGTCTTCAGATACGATGAATCTGGTGGTCTATGCTTCTTTTATGATTGAGAAGTACCACTTAGAACCAGTTGGATTCATAACTTCGAGAAAATGGTATGAATTTCATCCATGAGCAAATATAGGACGTGACTGAGAAGGTACCCCTTTAAGCATGACATCCTTGTATCTCTCTTGGTTTATGACATGCATGTTTTTTTAATTGACGTTGATGATTATTGTAAAATGATGTGTTTTTGTTGAATTTACCTTTTAAGTCCAATTCATTAATATGTAAAAAGTTTGCTTACTATATTTGAAGGTGAAAAGAAGTAGGATCTCATACCAGTGGCTAACAAGTTGTTGATGGCCCGAGTCGTTCACTGCTACGAATGCCTTCGCTATCCTCCATAGAGCTCCATTGACCCCATCCTCTCGGACTCAATGTTGCATCTTTCTCCAAGTACACTAGTGTTTTTGAGGCGTATACTTTGTTGGAAGTAAGTTCATATATTTTCCATTGGTACTCTTTAAGGTAGGAATGATCCCATACGAAGAACCGATCTTGTTATCATCTCCCTCCTCTTTTTCTTTGGTAGGTGGAATTACCCATCCGTCCTCATTTTCATCTTCATCGTCGCTCGTCAGTAGAGGCACGAAATGGCAATAATTGGCATGGCTATTTTGCCATTTAATTCATGTCCTTACTAATTTTTCTGACTACATGTGTGTTTTTTAAAAGAAATACCTCCATCTGATTTGAAACTCTCTCTGGCAATAATTTTCTTCTCTCAAGCATGCAGGTGAGGCTGTGCAGGCGAGTTTCTAACTATCAGGCGAGCTTGGCAGGTGAGATTGTGCAGGCGAGCCAGCCTCATTCAGGCAAGCTAAACTCCTTTACAGGTGAGCTCCAGAACATGCTACGAAAACAGGTCATAACTTTCAAACCGTAAGTCAGAATTGGACGAATTATAAATAAAAATCGACTATCTCGACGAAACGGAGCCGACCAAACCGACCCCATAGAGTTCGGTTTGCTCGTGTCTGTTTCGCCAAATTCCTTTTGGTTTGAGAGATATCAGCGTTTTCACATTTTTTGCTATTTCTAGCGAGGTTTTAGCAGTCTTGTTCTGAACTTCTCTGATAGGGATTAAAGTAAATTTTTATTACCTACAACCGTCATGATCCTTATTAGTTTTCTACTTAATGATGATTAATGGTTTGATCAATATGATGATGGAATTAGCTTACACTATGCATATTATGTTGTGTTATTAAATCATGATGTTAAATTATGAAACATGGGCAAAGTGGGAGAATGTTAGATTTTAGTGGCCCACGTTTATTTATTTTTTAACCAACTTTAGTGGTCACATTTTTACTCCCATGGTTTTTAGTTTAAGAAACTGCTCATGTTTTATTTTAGTTATATAACTACTCACTCACGTTTTTATGTTAAATTCCTATTTGTCAATAAATTAAGATAACTACTCACGTTGATGGAGTGTGAGTGATTATTCTATTTAAAAGGCTTGATCCTCTCTCTACCGGGAATGCGAAAAAATTCTCTCCATCAATAAAATTTCGGAAAACTTCAAGAGGGTTAAGGGAGAGAAACTCAAGTCTTCAAGGTTGTTCATCTTGCAATCAATTTCTCTTCAAGTTTCAAATCATGGATCAATGTACGTTTTCTTAATTAATTGTTCATTGTGAAAATCATTTGTTCTAAGATCTTGGCATAATGATAATCAAATCAAAATAAAGTATAGTTTGATTTGCTTAAATTTAAAGAATTAAGGTTACAGTAAATAGTCCAGTACTACAATAACAACTCGCTCCTCCCATTATTTAGTCCGAAATTTGCAAAATCGTCTTAACTTAAACCCTAACAAATTTTTAAACCCAACACCTCACTATTTTATTTTAAAAGACAAAGGCTTATTAACTCAAAATAATATCTAACCCAAACATAGCAATAGGGCTTTTAGCTTCCAATTCTAGATGGTGGTGTGAGTTTGTTGGCGTTGATCACCAACTGCCAACTATTTCCAGCTTCTTGTGTATATATGAATATATAATTTATTGACAAAACTAGATTTTTTAAATGAATATTGGTTGGAGTTGTATTTAAAGAAGTTTGTTTTATAGTTTTATTTATAAAAGTAGGGCATATTCGGCAAATGCATCATGAAAGGAAGGGGGTTGGGGGGATCCATAATGGTTGCAGATAGGGCCGCAAATGATCGAACCTAATCGAATATTAAGATGTTTGTGCTCGTATTTATTTAAAATTATCAAATTTGAACCTCAATTCTAATATTCATATCTAGAATTTTCCGAATTTGACCTCGAACACTCGATATTTGGTAAATATTTATGAAATATCAAAGTATATTCACTATGCTAAAGAATTTGATTTTAAATAATATTTAAATGTGTAAATACAAATTATCTCTTCATAATTACAATGCATGTATGCAATTCAAATATTTCATTAGAAAGTTGATTGAATATTCTTTAATTCCCTCCAAATTATTAGATAAAACTTAAGTAAAAATATAAGTGGATTTGTGTAATAATATAAATTATATGCGGCCAGGTTTTTTAAATGAATATTTAATGAGCAAACGAAGAATATATATTTGATTAAAGTCTATTTGTTAATGAACCAAAATACATAGTATTATTTGTTTAGTGTTAACTGAACTTCCTAATGGAACATTAACAATAGTTAGTCAAACAATTAACTAACTATTTATTAATTATTTGGTTTGTTTTCACCCTTATTTGCATCCATCTCTACAATATGAACGCAACCCACAAAACTAAATCAAGTTACGTGGATCTCAGAGGAAATGCTAGCAGAAATTTGTGAGTAGCGGAAATTTCAGCAGAGTTTCTGGTGCACGATAAGAGAGGAAGATCTCAATAAGAATTCTCGTCTCACCAAGGAAACAAGAATCTGAAGCGAATATCTCAACAAAGTGAAATATCAGCTCTTCCTCTCATCAGCTCTAGGACTGACTTGTCGAGGGATCCTAAAAACTATTACAATGGCAACAAACACAAAACAAACAATTTTACATGGTTCGGCAAACGTCCACGGGGCAAGGAGGGGGGGATCTACAATTAGAGGGAGAGAGAATACAAATAGGTTTATAACCACACAAGATCTCACAAATAAACCCTCAATCTAATCTCTCAATTCCTCTCTCAAAATCAGCACAAGAGACTACACAACAAAACTCTCAAAGTCGGCTTTGTTACAGCCGCTTTTCTCCTCTGTGCGAATCCCCTTGCACGCTGTCCAAGCAAGTCTGGTTTTCTCCCCCTGCTGCCTTGCACGCATACCAAGCCCAAAGAACCTCTGCACTTTTTCCTCTTGTTTGCTAGTCGTCCTTTACACCTGCACGCTGCCAAAGAAAGAGAGAAATAGCCGACTGCCCACCTCCTTCGCACTCAACCCTAGGCCAACAAGTAAGTGTATTTATAGGCCATGATTTTCGGGTGGGCCTCTTTGTCCGCTAGACTAAACTAATGGATTCGAAAATGCTCCTACCTTTATCTGCTGGATTCGAAAAATGCTGCTAGCCTTGTGATCCCCCCATTATAGGCCATGGTTTCGGGTGGGCCTCTTTGTTCGCTGGACTAAACTAATGGATTCGAAAATGCTCCTAGCCTTTATCTGCTGGATTTGAAAAATGTTGCTAGCCTTGTGATCCCC